TTACACATAATTGAAAACGAACGAACACGTTAACTCGGAGTATTTTCTAAAACCAAATTTGGTCTCATTCGATTCAGAATGGCTTGAAACGTCGAGAAAACATAAAATTAGCGATTCGGATTTTTTTATGAAAACATAAACTTCTCCTTCGGGAAGTTAAAAACTGATTTGTGTGTGCATGAATGTATGTTTGTATGTATATCAAATACAGGACTGGAAAATTCCACACTCTGAGGCACTGACGATAATGCCGCCCCATCCTTGAAATTTTACTTAAATAGTTTTTATGTCTCATTTTCTAAAATTAAAATTAGAATTTTGAAATTTTTGAAAAATTTGACCTTTTTGACAGCAATATGTCTAACGATTCATTTTAACCACCAAATAACATTTTTGTTTACTTTTGTTATTGATTTTCCGAAATCAATAAACCTGCCTTCTCAAAATTTTAATTAGTTCTTCGTCCAAATCGGGAGCTTCGTTATCTGAAAAACCAAATTACTATTTTTTTATACTTTTTTCCCCGTATCTTCGAAACGGATGAACCTGCTTTTGACAAAAACTAATCAGCACCACTTTTTCCCATCAAAACAAACCGAATGTGTTTTGAATTATTCAAATCGGTTAAACTGTGTTCCCAAAATTGTCGAAAACGATTTTGAGACAAAAATTCGTATCCGAACATATTCCCACACGCACATACATTCATTTTTTTTTTGCGAATACTATAATTTATCCTACAGAAATTTAATATTATAACAAAATATTCATTTTTGTTTTAACAATAAAAATTATAAATTTTGCCCTAAGGCCTAACCACCAAATAACATTTTTGTTTACTTTTGTTATTGATTTTCCGAAATCAATAAACCTGCCTTCTCAAAATTTTAATTAGTTCTTCGTCCAAATCGGGAGCTTCGTTATCTGAAAAACCAAATTACTATTTTTTTATACTTTTTTCCCCGTATCTTCGAAACGGATGAACCTGCTTTTGACAAAAACTAATCAGCACCACTTTTTCCCATCAAAACAAACCGAATGTGTTTTGAATTATTCAAATCGGTTAAACTGTGTTCCCAAAATTGTCGAAAACGATTTTGAGACAAAAATTCGTATCCGAACATATTCCCACACGCACATACATTCATTTTTTTTTTGCGAATACTATAATTTATCCTACAGAAATTTAATATTATAACAAAATATTCATTTTTGTTTTAACAATAAAAATTATAAATTTTGCCCTAAGGACTTTTTTTTACAGACAAATTCGACGAACATTTTAACTTCCCGTAGGATAACATCTGAAAAATATATTTTTCTTGAACTTCAGCTCGTTTACGAATCTCTCTATTAGCCAATTGCCGTATTATGTTTTTTTAAATGAAAAATGTTATTAAGAACAATTATTTAAATATATTATATTGATTTTTTTTTCTCATTTTCCAAATTTTGCCACTGTCTATATGTGTGTGTAGGTTTGTGCGGATACAATTCTTCGTTGGAAATTTTGAGAACACGGATCAATCCATTTGAATGATTCAAAAAGCGTTCGATTCCTGTAGATAAGAATGAGCTCATTAGTTTTTGGAAAGGCAGGTCAGCAGTTTCGGAGATCGAGTGAAAAAAATAAAAAAATTGCCATTTTATGGTCAAAAATGATCTTTAGACATATATACATCAAATTGTCAAATATTTTATAGAAATTTGATAATAAGTACAAATTTTATTGACATTTTTATAGGTTCCGTACCAATATTTATCCGTTAGACTGCGATACGGCGCTTACGCGCTTCAATATTCCGTCTCTAAAACAGCTACGCAGCACGATAGCTTTGAAAAAAAGTTCAAAGTTTTCAAAATATTAGATGAATTCAATTTTTTTTTTTTCGAAAAAGTCAAAGAAAATTCTCAAAAATTTATTTTTTTCAGTTTTCAAAAAATTTTAGTTTTTGGTATGAGAAGTTCCAGCAATTTGCCTTAAGGCACGATGCCATACACCACTAGTTAGATAGACAAATCGATCCACAAGGCAGCGACTGTAGTTATAAGGAAATTCTTGATGAAGACAGTAGAGATAAATGATATAGAAACAATATTCCAAACTGCTTGCGACTTTGTGCTAATTCTGAATTCAGGAAACCGAAATTGGTTTAGAAAGAACTAGTTGGACGTGAGTTGAAGAAAAGGGTGTTGCAGGTAGATTATTAGTTCATAATGCTTTCAATTATGTACCTGGGCTAACGGCACATGCAAAAAGAAACATTATGAACAGGAATCCAAATAGTGCATTTCTGTTAGTGATTGACGAACATAATTTGAAGCATTATAAAATTTGTACATAGTTGGAAGCCACTCAAATTTTGGCCAAAGACTGGTCAATTTTGCAAGCAAAATTGAAGGCATTTCTTGCAATATTGGACACACGAGGAAATATTTTCGCGTACGAAGGAAATACTTTGAGGCTTCAATATTTATGGAACACCAAGTGGGGAGCATAATTTTTCTACTCGCAGTAGACGTGATTTTACTGATTGTGAAATTTCGTGATACATTATTTTCAAAAACAGTTAGGAGTCGACCTTTGCAAACGAAGAAATTCGTTTTAGTTCCAGCAGTATGGAACAAATTTATGGAAAATAGCTAAAATTGCTTCAAACTGGGAGCTCATATTACCATTGATGAACAATTTCTTCCAACGAAGATTTACCCAGTATATGCCAAATAAACTTCATAAATTTGGCATTAAATTTTGCTGGCGTTTAATGTAGAGATAAAATATGTAGTAAATCGATGTTCGTAATTAGCAAAATGCTAAGCTCGAAATGAACCAACCGCTCCAAAGCGAATTTGTTCGTAATTAAACTTCTCGAACCATATACCATGAAGGGAGAACTGTAACAACAGATATTTTCTTTAACAAATATTTCTTTAGCATTAAAATTGAAATATAAAAATACTTCGTTATTTGGACTTTACGCACAAACAGAGGGAGTTGTTGAAAACTTGTAAATTAAAAAAAAAGACATCATGGCATCTTACCGTTTATAAATAAGAGTAAACCAAAGAGTACAAAAGTGCAACACATAAAAACATCGAAAGTGTAAATAATGCTAAAATGTCACCTGAAATCATTGCTTTTTATAATAAAACTACATTTGGCCAATCACAGACCAAATGGCGCAAAAGTATACGGTTAATTAGGTTCCAGAAGGTGGCTATTAAGTGTTTGTAGATTTAGCCGGAATTATAGATAAAACTATACAAAGACACAACAGAAGAAAATATATCAAGGAAAGTCTTTATGTTTTGATTAGCAGAAGAATTTGCTTCAGAATATAATTCTACATAGCATAAACTTCAAGAACCTTATTAACCAATTACAAGGTGGCGAGCATAGCTCACTTAGTAGCGTGTTCGATTCACACGACAGGGATCTTTGGATCGAATCCTGTCAACGACTTAGAATTTATGAAAAAAATATGTGTAGTTAATTTGAAATTGAATAAAATTGTATTTGTTAAGTAGAAATTGAATAAAAATTAAGAAAAATAGGAATTACAGAATTCGAATAGCTGAATTGCATTAAGAGTAAGAAGAAAAACATAGTAGAATTTGCTAATATTAAAAGAAGAATGAAGAAAAAAATGGAATGAAGATAGAAGTTGAAAAGAATTATTTGATATGAAAAAGCAAGAACTGAAGAAAATAAAAAAAATATAGAATAGGGTATATATAAATTGAATATGATATAAAAATTAGTATAGAATGTAAATAATTAAAAATGTTGTAGGTGGTTAAATGCTCAGAGTAAGCGAGGCCAAATAAAAATAAAAAAAAATACAAGTGGCACGGCTTCTGAACGAAAATGGTGTCAAATGTACATAATGTAATGTTAAAATACTACTATTAAACTTTAAATTATTTATTATTTGATAATATCTATACATTTTTGTAACTATTGCAATTAATTTTGTTTGTTTTATATTAATTTGAATTGAATAAGGCGTTAAAACCACAATTGTGTTTCTTATTATTATATAGAACATTTTTTCTTATAGACTAGTCACATTGACTATGTGGGAGTAGTAATGATTATGACAATATATTAAATTAGAAACTCCCAATAATAAAAAAAATATAAATTTATTAACTATAAAAATATTTCGATATCAAAAATATACATGACATGTCCGATTGTTTTTTTACAAATCAAAACCAGCCTGCTTGATATCGCCACACACTCCCTGGGGTCACCAATGTGGGAGTAGTAATGATTATGACAATATATTAAATTAGAAACTCCCAACAATAAAAAAATATAAATTTATTAACTATAAAAATATTTCGATATCAAAAATATACATGACATGTCCGATTGTTTTTTTACAAATCAAAACCAGCCTGCTTGATATCGCCACAACTAGTTTGGTAAAATTAGGTGAATTAGGTATATTAAATGGCTGATAAATCTACGAAGTTATGAATGTAAAACTTTGATTACATTCGTTAGTGTTCATTTTTGTTAGTTATATCTAACTCATTCCACTTTCGGAGTTATAACAATCTTATTTTTCATAGCAATTTCTATTTATGAAATCAATAGAAACCAACTGAAAGACTGTGCACCGTATTTTATTAGAAATATGGCAATTTAATCTAATATCCAAACTATTTGTTCATACTCTAATTTGACATTTCTATAAGTATTGAAAATCTTCTGACAAATATTTACACAAAGCTGAGCACTCTAATATCAAATATTTAGTAATATTTATCAAATGGTATTTTAATACTTAGTCAGTATTGTGGCTTTCGTCCATGTATGCCGAAATGTCTATTATATAGATAATCACAAAAATACAAAATTTATAATTGTTAAGTATGATCTTTGGTAGAAATTAATAAATCAGCAAGTTAACATACTATGATATGATATGACTCAATATATAAATATTTATTAATTTGTTGAATTAATATCCAATTTTTTAAATTTTCAGTATAATTCAAAAGATACGAGCATCTTCAGCGTGCATGTAATGCATCCGTTTTGGGACAGGTGTGTAGAGGTAAATGAAATATACTATTAAATAAGAAATATTTTTAATTCTTAACAATTTATTCAAGTATCTTTTATATTTTCAGTATTGTCCAAGATGGATAGCTCCAAATCTCCTCACATTTGCCGGATTCTTACTGACCGTATTGAATTTTTTGTTGCTCTGCTGGTATGATTACTTTTTTGATTCGGCAATAGGCATACCTCCATGGGTGTGGCTATTTGTAGGAGTGAATTTGTTTGTAGCCTACACTCTAGGTAAGGTGAATTTATTGATCACCATCATTTTTATTTCTGCGTTAAATATATGTATTAATGTATGGTATTTTTTAGTGATGTGCCAAGTCGAATCAAGTGATTCGAATCATTCGAATCAAGCCTTTAATGACTTGATTCGAATCAGATTTTACTTGATTCGAATCAACTCGTATCAAGCCGCGAAATATTTACTGTGATAAAATATGTATTAACACAAATTTTTCATAAATATAAAAATTTTCATAAATATAAATATAAAAAAAATGTTTTAATTTAATTCAATATTATAATATAAAAAATAAATATCATAAATATAAAAAATAAATAATGAATTAAATCATGCGAGCCACCCGACTTTAATATGCTTAAATGTATCGGCCGACTCCAATCGTCTTTATATGACCATAATCGCATTCATCGACTAACTATATCATTCGACTTCATACGGCTCAAACCGAATCAAGCGGCGATATGAGTTATTCCGACTTCATGAGTCAAACCGAATCAAGCGGCGATATGAGTTGTTCCGACTTCATATGAGCCAACTCGAATCAAGCGGCGATATGAGTTGTTCCGACTTCATCACACAAACCGAATCAAGCAGCGATGTGAGTTGTTCCGACTTCATGAGCCAAACCGAATCAAGCGGCGATATGAGTTGTTCCGACTTCATCACACAAACCGAATCAAGCAGCGATGTGAGTTGTTCCGACTTCATGAGCCAAACCGAATCAAGCGGCGTTATGAGTTGTTCCGACTTCATATGAGTCAAACCGAATCAAGCGGCGTTATGAGTTATTCCGAATTCTGATTCGAATCATCCCGACTTCAAGCCGTTCGAGCGATATGAGTTAACCGTATGGGCGATACAATGCGTCGTCGTTCTTGCGTGTTTATTTATTTTACGGAGAGCTGAGAGCGATTTTGTTCTTGAAATATCAATACCCAATTTTAACGTAAGTGTTTTAGATCTTAAATGTTATCAGAATAAACCACTCGAAATTATGAAACGAGTTTCGGGAATCTTTCAATATAATTCTCTTTTGAAACAATTACTAAACACCAGAAAGTCAGTAAATAATATGTTAACTTCTAATTATGTAAGTAATGGCAAATTCACATTAATTAACTTTCAGCTCTCAGTTTAGATGCGATCCTTTACTGATTACATAGTAAAATAAACAATCGACCCATGATTCCAAATATTATTTTATATACTTTAGTGATGCACAATTGTTTGGTAATCTATTATGGTAAATTAATTTGAAGATATGTTTCAGCCGTCTTCAAAATTATATCATTTTTAATAATTTTCAAAATATACTTTTTGATAGTAATTTATGATTACAATTTCTACTTTGTCGGTTATATTGGTTAAACTGACAATTTTGATTATAAATTTGGATCACTTTTACTAAATTAATACATCCATGAATTTTTTTGTCCATATATATACTTGATTCGAGTTGATTCGAATCATGATTCGAATCAGGTTTTTTTCTGATTCGAATCATTCGAATCGGGAATTTTTCGAGTCGGCACATCACTAGTATTTTTCTTATTATTCACTACAAATAATACTGATAACAGACATGATTCTGTTTGTTCTGGCATTTGATCTTTTTTCAATCAGTGTAATACAACATATCAAAAAAGACTATACAATGGTTGACCAATATAATTTTGAATTACAGCATTTGAACGTTAACAAACAATCATTTGGTCTCATGTGTGTCTTCAGTAAAATCAGTAAAATCATAGGTAGAAAAAACAATGTCTTGAAATATTTTGTCTGTTTACTTCTTATTAGTATCGAATACAATAACAAATTAAAATATCAAAAAATTTAGTTATAATTCATAGAGACATTGAAATAAGACATGTTATTGACAAATGTAGGACGTAAATCATCGGAACCAAAATATCATGTGAATTACTCCATTATTCTATTGTACCAAAATTGATAAACAGATAGTAATTACTGATGTTGAAAAATATAGGACAGACTCTGAATTAAAGGTCGAACATATTTTTCGTTTTAAAACAGATGATTGTGTGTTGTAACAAAACATAATTAAAAAACTAGCCACATTCTGCGAGAATTAATTTTGAGGCAAACCTATATGAGGTTCTGCTTCTACATCTGCCTTATATCAATCGCTTGACATTTTGTCGAGCATTTGCAAATTACATTTGAAAAGTATTTTTGTACGATTATGAAGAAAATATGTTGACAATACGCCTGTGTCAAAACTGATTCTACGTTCTGCAAATCCAGTCGAAAATGATAAAAGCCATGAAAAGCTTTAAGTAATATCACTCGAGATTGGAGAGAAAAAATCTTGACTTTATTTAAAAAATGAAATTACTTTTTGAACAACCAAATACTTTTTTATTGTCATGATTTATATTGAAATTATATTTGAATATGCATTATTTTTTATAAACAAAACGATGAATATAATATTAATAGGCAAACCAGATCTATTATAAAAATATAAACGTTTTTCAAGCATCCTAATGGTTTGTTGTATTTTTAATTTAGTTGACAAAGTTTTTATATAACCTCAGAACTCAGAACTTAATGATACTTTATCATTTCTTTAAAAAAATTTCAAACTTACTAGTTCCCATAATTATATAACTATTGCACATATGAAAACAGCAAATGATTCCTAACAATTTAAACATTTCAAGCCGATTATAGATAAACGATTATTATATTTATTTTAATGACAATATAGCTATTAGTTAACTATAATTAGTATGTAAGTTTTGTTCTATATAATGTACATATATTTTAAAGTTAAAGGTGATAATTCAATATGTATGAACTTATTAGATGGCATAGATGGAAAACAAGCCAGGCGGACGGGTACTAGTGGTCCATTAGGAGAATTATTTGATCATGGCCTAGATTCCTGGTCTTCGGTATTAATACCAGTTTTTATGTATAGGTGAATATAAACAAATAATTGCTTATTTTTATTTATTTTACTTAATAAGCCATACTAACATTATTATTTTGTTTAAAATTAATTATGAGGAAAATTATTAAAATACATAGATTACATATAGGGTAGGGCGGGCTTAAAGGTCAATAGCATTTCAATGTATTCATATTGAGAAAATTGCTTCGAGATACGAACAATCGGCATGCTAGCGTGCTTACGAAACGAATTAAGCTCGTAAGGCGGGGTACACTGTATACGTTATTTAATAATTTTATAATATGCATTGTTAATTTTAAGTTAGATACTTACACTTAGGTCGGGTAAAATGGACCAACTGAAATTTTACTCTGGCAAAATTGTAAAAAATAAGAAATAGCAAGTAAAACAACTAAATTACAGAAGCTATATTATAAGGGATAAATTAAATAAATAGTTATTCTTCTGATGAATATTTCTGAAGATACTAGCTCAGGGATATTTCCAGCGTTATCTCTGTAAAAAATGCACCTATGAAATTTATATTTTGCACTGGTTGAGTAATGCAGCTACTATTTTGTAAAATCCCTTTAAAATTCCGTTCTAAATCACCCCGTCTATGAGGTAAAAAGGACCAGATTGCAAATTATGGAAGAATTGCAAAAAAAAACATATCTTTACAGTGATGAATTAGGTGGAAGTTTTACTGAACATAGTCAGATAGTTGTTTATTGATATGTGTTATCTTTTGTCATATAATTGGTCAGGTTTTCACAATATGATTGCTCAAAGTCAAATTGTTCCCCGCCCTACCCTATCTATATCATACAATATCTGAAATAATTAATTAAATTGAATTCCAAATAGTTATTGAACCAAGATCAATTCAATTTAAATTTTTCGAAACTATTTGTTATGTATTTTGGTGATATTGCAAAAATTCAAGAAATTCACTCCAATTAATTTGTTTAATGCTTATAAATTTATTTTTTAAATTAATTTTATGTTATATGTGGTAATAAAAATATACTTTCTATTTTCAACTCTATATTTTCCTTTGAAGCAATATCTTAGGAAATTATAATGCTGTATTATTAATTCACATTTTATAAATCATGTGTTTTATTTTTTTCTGCAGTATGTTTGGAAGACAAGACTTCTCGGCGTATAGAATGTATTTTGTTGTGTGGAATGTATTTGTAAATTTTTATTTGACGCATTGGGAAAAGTACAACACCGGTGTATTATTCTTGCCATGGGGATATGATTTTACTATGGTGGTAAGTTGAAGATATAATTTTGGAATTAAATTTCTCCAATAAGTAAATCATTGTTTGATAAAGGCAAATTGCTGTAACTTCAGAAAATCAAAAATTTTAAGAAAGCTTTAAATTTTTTTTAAATTTTTGGAAAAATTAGATTTTTGAGAATTTTGAAATTTTTGGATGATTTTTTTTATATTTTTTTCCTAATTAACTACCCGTGGGGAAAATGAAAATATTTATATATCTTTACGTTTCAGAGGTTTCTGAAAATTCAGGCATTCTTTAGAAAAAATAATTCTAAAAACATTCCATACCTATTGATAAGGAGACGTGCTGATCAGTTTTTGACGAAGGCAGTCTAGCCGTTTCGAAGATATGGAGCAAAAAGTGCCAAAAATTTCAATTTTTAAGAGGACGGGGCGTTTGTTACCTTATTAATAGGAATAGAATGTTTTTTGATTTATTCAAATAGGTTGTTTGGTGTTCCCGAAATCGTCGACGAAAATTTGTATCCGTACACACACACACGCATGCACATACACATACGTCAATTTTTTCTAACGTATGCCAAAATGATCAGAAACTTTCTGAAACGTGAAGATATATAAAAATTTTCATATTCGATTTTTTTGCAATTACTATAACTAACCATACGGGAAGTTAATATCTGTCGGTCTCTAGAAAATATATAAATTGGGTTGATTTTTTCTGGATAAAAAATAAATCTTTATTCAAGAAAAAAGTCATAAGCAATGCAAAAAATGCAATGCGAAGTGAAGTTTCTCAGATATACTATTATTCTTAATTTTTGTATCATTTCTTAATGTACTTTTTCTGGTTTGTTTGTGTTGCAACAGAACAACATCCAGTTTAAATTAAACTTTTTATTGAACATTATTAAGGTATTTGGTTTATTTGGTAATTACTATTATTTTAAAGTGTCGACGGTTTATGTTAAATTTGAGCAAATGCATGACTTAACTTATGCTTAACTATTTATTTTGGATGCAGTTGCAAGATTTTTCACTTCTTCAAAAAGTATTATTTCAATATCCATTGTTTCTGGTTCAGATCTGAACATTTATTATATGAAATGTTTATAAACAAGTGAAGTGGGCCATATTAATATTGTAACCATCTACTCTACCCTTTAATTATGATATTTAATCATAATTTATAGTATATATATATATATATATATATATATATATATATTATAATTAATAGATAATAAATGCTGTTAAATAAAATAATTTTATATTTTCTTAAATTTGTAACACATTTTAGGGCGCGACGTTTGTTCTACTACTAACGTGGGCTGTGGGCACGTGGATTTGGACCATCCCTTTGCCATTAGGTTTAAGACCTTCGCTTATATTTGAATCTGTACTTTATTTTTCGGCGATGCTCTCTAGTCAAACTGTGATAGCTTGGAATATATACAAGTAAGTCAACAAATTAAATTAGCCCTTTTTTTCTTAGTGTCAGCCTGAAAATTTAACTAAATAACAATCGTTTTTTATTATTAAAGAGATAAATTTTAATAAACACATATATACAGATATCAGGTTTATTGACGATCAAGACAACTTACGTAAAAATATAAAAATAAATTTTGAACGTTACGCCCTAAGTCAGTTATAAGTTTTCAGCTTGGTTACTCTTACTGAGTGCCCATTTTTAAAATAAGAATATTGTATTAAAAAATGGATAGAAAAAATATTTTGTAAAAAGGAATACAGTGCCCTAAGTGCATTTAGAAATCATTGTCTTTCCTCTCATTCGATGTGCGGCGTACAAATAAAAAAAAATCACTTACAATTAGATTTGAGGTCATCGTTGCGTAATATTATTAAACGAAACTTTAAATAACTGAAATCTCTTCTACAAAGCCGTACAAAACAAATGCTTCAGAAATATCCATCGAAAATCGACTTTAATAGATTGTTTGTTAAAATATAGTTTCATGGAGTAACGATTAAGCGCACTGTGTGGACAGGGTTGTAAGTGTGAACCACCCCTCTGGATGACATAATATCATGGGGTAGTGATATTAATTTTCACCGGAAAATATAGATCAAAAATATGTTTTCAATTGAAAATAGCCATTTAGTGCACTACTTTGTGATACGGCAATGGACTCACACTATTCAACACCTTGAGTTGGAGCTAACTCAGTTCACGGACCTGTTCTAGAGCAATGCTACCAATACCAATATTGGCAGTGTTTCCAATTGAAAATAGCAATTTCGGGCACTACGGTATGATATGGCAATGGAAAATCTCTCACACTATTCTTCCCTAAATCGAGTTGGAACTAACTCAGTTTGCAGATCTGTTTTAGGGCAATACTACCAACAATATACTATTATGGCAGTATTTTGACTCTCAATTCTATTAAAATTTATACAAAATAAATGAAGATGAAATGAATATTATCATATCATAAATTTTTGTAATAACAAAATACAATGGTATTTACAATACTGTTTTTTATCTATAATCTTATAAACATATGATATTAATCAAAAACAGCAAAATATTTAAGCAAAACGATATATTCATGGGGCAATTCTGCCATAACAGATCATATAACAATATCAAGACAACGCGCTCTTATCCTTGTTCTTTATATTGAAAATTATGAAAATGTTTATCTATTTGCCGTGCGATCAGGCGTATTTTACATATAAACAAAGCACGGGAGAATGTTAGTGTTAGAGAATGATAATGGATGATCGAAGATTCTGTTATCATAACATTCTTCCTTGCTTATTTATATGTAAAATAAGGAACAAAGCACGGGAGAATGTTATGATAATGCATGTATAATACGCCTGATCGCACAGCAAATAGATAACCATTTTCATGATTTTCACTACCAATAACAAGCATGCCACGACAACCCTATGTTATGGGTCGTGTTATGGTTGAATTGCCCCATCAATTTGAAATTAAACGAAATAAATTTAATTCACACATAATTTCATTGAAGGTACATAACGTCAGAATATGTACCTTCTAACTATTAGAAGTAAAACTAATATAAAAGTTCTAACAACCTGATAAACGAAGTACTTACATAAGAAGTGTATATTTTGGTGAATTTTTACGTTCTACCAAAATCTTGAGATTGTTTTTTTTATGAAATTTTTTATTTATATAAAGATAATTGTTCACTGTTTAACTCTATAGATTCGCGTAGATGAAAATTGAGACAAAAATTGATATAATTTATAACATTTTCTATGTGATTCTATTAATTTCTTTCTCTTTAATAGGTCCTACAAAGAAGGTACCGGTAAAATGAGGCCGCCTTTGGAGGCAGTTAGGCCGCTTTGGCCTTTGATATTACTCTTTGTATCCAGTGCGTACTGGGCAACATATTCTCGAAATCAAGTCGCGGATATTGATCCGCGGGCCCTTTATATTATGACAGGCACAGTTTTCTCAAATATTTGCGTGAGTATTCAAATCAAGGAGAACGAAATGAGAACTTATGATTTTACATTATTAAATTTATTATAGATCAAGCAATGGATTTTTTTAATTTTACCATTTTCATAATGCATTTATTATTAAGCTTAGATTAAAACTTCCATGTGCGATTTCAATTCATTTTAGTTCATTCATTGTTATATCTTTTTTCATTATAATTAAATATTTACTAGATTTACTAGATTTATGATTATGATCATAATAAACATAAGTAAGGTAAACGTACACTATTCCGGGATAGTACATTATTACGGGAGTTTTTCATTTTGATCGCAAAATAAGAAATCAGTCAATAAATAATAATTTTATTCAATAGCACATCAATTATAATTTGAATCCTAATAAAATAGTACGATTTTCGAATTTAAGAGATTATTAAGAGATTAGTTTTATAGTTAAATCGAGCATATATTTGTCAAGAAATTGTCAATTTCAAGACTCCCGCAATTAGGTTCACACAACTGAACCAATGAACGTAATTCCGTGAGAATCCCGCAATTACGAGAAGTAGACTTGAAATAGTTTTATTTTTTATTTTCAACTGTGCCTAAATTCGGCGGTGTTTCTGGTGTTAATAAGTTTGTTAATGACTTCAGAATACTGTAACGTAATTAAGGTATATGTTTTTTTTAATTTCTAACCCTAATAATTGAGTTTGAAATGACTACTCTTTCGTAATAAAGTACACTATTTTTTTCACTTATTTGCATTGTTCCAATATACCTAGAACATTGTAGTAATGAGAGAATCATTTATTTCTACCTTTTCATCTATGATCAATTATTTCTATTATATAAATTGAATAAAAATACAGGTATACCCCGTATAGCGCACGGTACTTATAGGGCGCGGATTCAAGGGCGCTGGTATGTATGTATGTATGCAGAGATCTAGGGACATTCCTGTAAACATCATAGTTTTAATCCGATTAAGCTTTTGGAATATACTTATATTCTAAAACTTCTAAAACATACAAAATTCCCAAAAGAACCTGATTTAAGCTAGTAGTTATTGTTAACTTGAAAGACTTTAAAGATTATTTTAAAGTCTTTAAAGATTTACGTTTGTTGGTAGAATTGTAACTTTTATTTCAAGTTAATTTTTTTTTTTTTGAGTTTAAATTTTATATTTATTTTAAGTTTATATTTTTGTTTAATTGCCGTTAAGAATTATTCCTCTATTGTTTCATTTATTTGATTTACCGAAACAGTATTGATAATAATTATTATACTGCTATTACTATAATAATACCGGCTTTTATTTTATTTTTATTTTAGAAGTATTTCAACTTGTTATATTTTTATGATTTTTATAAAACTAAATAAATGTTTAAAATGATATCAAAGTATTATTTTATAATTTACCGTACTTTTTATAACCTATTCAACTATATTTATCAAGGCAATACGATCCAAAATGTATGCTTCGGGCGCTATCACGGAATAGTGTACAGCGACTCCCGGCATTATATTCACGAACCGAATTTTATCACGGAATTAGAGACAAACGCGTAGTTCACCAAAATGCCTATTATTTCTATAAATGACGTTCTACGATGAAAAATCTTGTTTTAAAATAATCTTAAAGGTCCACTTTCCTATTATCTCTAAAATTCGTCTTTAAAGTCAAACGTTCCTTAACATCCCGTAATATGGTACGTTTACTTGCTGTAATTTGGAATAGACTATTAAAAATTTGACCAAAAAATCGTTATAATGTTCTGTACCTTTGGTACATCTGGTCATGCAATAAACTGTGTATTTTAAGTACAATGCAAACATCAAATATTGCATTACTAATCTAATGGTAACAGTATTTAGTAAATATCTATATGTAAAGTAATAACATATTATATTTACTTTATAAAAATATTTATATAGTGATTTTTTGCAACAGTAGGTGATCTCATATATTAGATTTTTTATATTTTTCGTTTTAATATCCTGCATTTTTTATTTTTTTATATAGTGTCGCCTTATTGTTGCTCAAATGACAGACACCCGCTGCGATCTGTGGAACTGGTTACTTCTACCAGTAATTATAGCATCATATATTTGCACAGTCAATCCTTTGTCCTTTGCGCAAGAACGATTTGTCCTGTATGCCATTACCGTATTAGTGACAGTGGCTCATATACATTATGGAGTGTGTGTGGTAAGAAAAATACATGCATATATATATATATATATATATATATATATTAAATGTTAAATATGAACAATACAGCACTCAGATTTTCAACACACACTACTTTATTTGTACTTACACACGTTTCGAGACCATGGTATGCCTCATCTTCAGTGTAATTTCAAAACAGTTACTTATATACTACACATTCTTTAATATTTTATTTAAATTGCATTTAATTTTTGAAAATATATAAAATACCAACTATCACTTGCAAAGCTTGACACAATACTAAAACATGTGAAACCTGCAGAAATATTTTAAACAAATCTTAAGTATCGAGATGAAGAGACAGGATGGGTATTATTATAATGTAAACAAATGGAGTGCGCAATCGCATACTAAAATCAACAATTGTGAAAACAGTTTAATTTGTTGAAGAGAATAAGATAAATGAAAAAAAATTATAATTTATTGATGATGTTTATATAAGAGTTGTGTAAAATATTTGTGTCGGTTCTCAGATTTACGCTATTATTAGTCCGAACTATTAATATTGATTCTGCCATGCTCCGTTTATATAAGTCTTTTTCATGGAATAAGATTTGAGGATTATCAAAATCAAACTTATGGTTGTTGATATTAGCATGGTCCACAAGCGTCTTTAATTATCAATTTTTTTTGCATTGTAATTCATGCTGCCTGAGCCTTTTATCTAAGTTCTGACAAGTCTGGCCAATATAAGAACAATTACAACTCAAATTTACATTATAATAATATCCATCCTATCCCTTCATCTCGATACTTAAGATTTGTTTCAAATATTTCTGTATCTATTCACATGTTTAGTACTGTGTCAAGCATTGTAAGAGATAGTTGGTGTTTTTTGTATTTTCAAAAATTAAATGTAATTTAAATAAAATATCAAAGAATGTGTTAGTATATAATAACTGTTCTGAAATTACACTGAAGATGAGGCATACCATGGTCTCGAAACGTCTGTAATTATCAAATAGTGTGTGTTACAAATCTGAATGTTGTATTGTTCATATTTAACATTATATATATATATATATATATATATATATATATATATATATATGTAATTCATTAATTTGTTGCAGGTCAGGCAAATGTGTGAACATTTTAAAAGAGATTGTTTCAGAGTACCAAAAAAGAATCAACAAATTAAATAAAGTGTTAAGTAATTTAATAATGTATAAAGATCACTAAATAAAACAAAATACTTAGATAGTAATATTAGAAAATTTATTTATGCAAACTAAGACATGAAGAAAAATAAAAACATTCAATGTTCTAGATCAAATATGACTAAGGAATACAAATTCATATGGTAACAGGTAAAAATTGAAACACATTTTTTGTTTCTCTAGGCTAATGGAATGATTAGTTGTAACAAATTCTTTACATTTTTTTATTTTTTAAATTTCACCATCGATTATACAAAAAAATATATAATTTTGCAAAATATAATATTCTTATTGTAGGCTTAAGGAATCCAAACTATGCACCACATTACTCACATGTTTAGATGACTTAGTTAAATTCCTTTTTTCAATTTTTTTTATTATATATTGACCGTTTTCTGACATCGATTCCAATTCAACATGACAATATCTATTCTTTGGTAAACTAAAATCACGTAATGTGACATTTAATTTTCCGGACGCTTCTTCTGGAACAATTTTACCATGGTCCTTCTCAATAGGCATTGAATCAATATGAAGATCATCAACTGATTCAACGGTTTCATTTATATCATCACGGATTGATGAAACATTCAAAAATCTGAAACTATTGGACAATACATTGTCAACTTTTTTGTCAGATCTTCGTTTGTCTGAATGTCTGATAAAATTATGAAACTCTGATAACTTCTCGTTAAAAGATACAAAATATTTGGCACGTGCTGCAACAGATTTTGAACGAATTCTCTTTAGTTTTCTACTTTTGGCTTTCTTTGCTGTTCTTGTTAATGGCACAATACGCTGAACGTTGTTTTGTGGAGGCCTTGATACTTCGGATGTTGTTTCCTGAAACATCGACATATGCTATATTGAATTTATTCTTTTGTGTTACAAACCATAGACAATTTGTTATATATATATATATATATATATATATATTTATTTTATATATATATATATATATATATATATATATACATTATTTTCATATCTCAGTCAGGCAGAGGTGCCTGGTATGAGAGATTATGAAAAACAGTTTTCATATAATATATACATTTTATTTGACTATAATATCTATTTCATTAATATAATATCTATATATAATTAAAATATCTTTATATATAACTCTTCAGTCTTTTTTGTCTTCAATTTCCTTATAGTGTTTCTTTATTTTTCTTTTAAATTTATCGTCATCTTTGGTCATCTTAATATCGTTTGGCAATTCGATATATATTTTGCTAGCACTCCATATGACATTTTCTCTGAAATTCTTCTTTCTATTGTGTTCAATGTGAAAATTGTTGTGTTGTCTAGTGTAGTGTTCATGTATATCTTGATTTATGTCTATTGTTGCGCTTGTTTTAATTCGGTAAAATTTCATTTTGTGTATTAGTTTGCATTTCTCTAATTTAATTATGTTATTTAGTGGATGATTATTTGTTTCTCTTTGTAAGTATTTGGTGGGTGTTAGATGTGGAAAATTATATGCTATTTTTGTGGCTTTATTCATTATTCTCTGTATGTCATTTAGGTTAGCTTTAGTTGTTTGGCTCCATGTTGTTATTCCATATAAAATTATAGGTATTATTTGCGTTTTGAGAATTAGTATTTTATTTTTTTTACTGAAAGACTGGATCCCTTTCAATGCCCCTGTTAATGTTCCTATCTTTCTTTTTATTTTGCTTATATGTTCTGTCCATGTCAATTTTTCATTTATTATCAGTCCTAAGTATTAACTATTAATTAATAGTTTAACCTGTTACGAGGTTCATTATGAAAACAAATACTAAAATTCATCGTGTGTAGGGTATTATATATAATATATTGTCTAGGGTGTGTAGTATAACTAAAATCTGTGCTTTGAGTCTGGTTTGTGTTTTGAATATGTCTGATAAAACGAAAATATAAATTAATAGAAGATAAGAAAGCTTTTATGAAATGTTCATGTCCATCATGTATATATGTATAATACTTAATTAAAATTTAGGAAAAAGTAGATGACAGTAATTAAGATGTATTGCTAATAATTACACACACATATATATATATATATATATATATATATATATATATATATATCTTACCATTTTGTTGTATACTTAAGTAAGTATATCCTCCAAAAAATGAAAAATTGCTCGACCGCCGAACTGTATAACCTAAGTCTTCGTAATCTTGATGCCAAGTGCTGAAACGTATTTGTGGTTAATCAAATATGGTATACGGAATTTAATATAATTCATACATGCATAAATGTTTGTATTTGTGAATTCTTTTAAGAATATATTTTCTGTTATCAATACCATGCGCAGCATACCTTTGCATTCACTTATGACAACAAGCACAACACAAGTGTAAACCAGCATTGTTCACCGCGCTTTCGGTGTCGAGTTAAGTTAGCAGCGTGTAGAGGCGTGGTGGGCGTGGCTTATGTCATGGGCGTAGCCAATTTACAAAACTTTTTTTCGGTTTAAATTGATAAAATACATACTATAAATTTGCGTTTTCTATGTTCATGTCATAAATACGATATATAATATACTAAAGAAATTTTGTAGACTGCTCACTTACTCTTTGCAAAGAGTAAATTAGCATGCTAATTGCAAAGTCATTTCTAATAGTTTGGCCGATCTTTTCGCAAATCTAATCGCGGCTTCTCCAGTAGGATCCTTATCTAGTTTATTCCAATATGGCTTTTGAATTTGTGAAACTCAAATATTGGTCTATAACATCCCCAAAGCAATTTCTAACTTCCCATAAGGTAAGTTATAATAATCGCAAAAAAATCAAAAATGAAAATCTTTCACGTTTCAGAGGTTTCTGAATATTTTGGCATACCTTAGAAAATATGGATGTATGTGTGTGTATGTGTGTGTGTGTGCGGATACAAATTTTTGTCGAAATTTTCCGGAACATCGATTATTCGATACGATTCGATTCGTATTGATAAGAAGACGTGCTGATTAGTTTTTGGCGAAGACAGGTCTAGCCGTTCCGAAGATATGGGGCAAAAAGTGTCAAAAACGGTAACTCAGTTTTTAAGAGAATGGACATTTTATTAATTCAAAAAACATTTTACTTGTATTGACAAGATGAAAAACTGATTAAATTTTTGGAAAGGCAGGTCCATCGGTCATTTGGCGGTCAAAAATGTTTATTGTACATATGTACGTCAAGTTATCAGATATTTTATAGAGATTTTAATAATGTGTACACATTTTGCGTAAATTTTTTTGGGTTCCGTACCAAGATTTTTAATTACGGTACAGGAAGTTCCAGCAATTTGTCTTAAGGCACGATGCCATGCACCCCAAATTTTGATTACCATATTTTGCAAACTTTGATAAATAAAATAAAATTAAACAAGTGGTGTATGGCATCGTGTCTTGAGGAAAATTGCTGGAACTTTATGTACCGTAACGAAATGTTCGAGGAATATTAATTGACGCTGGCCCTCACAGAGTTACGAGAGTTACATCGAATGGCTTTTAAATTTTTGGAATCGGTCCAGTCGATATAGAGAAAACTTCGACGAAAGGGGTCAAAAATCGGCTCACATACATACACACACATATGATTTATATAATACATAATACTTTCTCCAAATTGGCAATAAACGTTAAAGTTTGTTTTCGCCAGAAAATCTAATTTGATAATTCTGTGTTCTCGACGTTTCATTCTGAACCGAATGAGACCATATTTGGAATGGAAAAAATGTATGGGTGTGTGTTTACGCTAGCCAATTTTTACCTCTAGTCGAAGTATTTTTTTTTCAAAAACTTCTGAACCGTCTTGAAAGCCTTCGATAGAATCGATAAAGACTCGCGTTGGTTAGTTTTGCGTGACGATCCGACCGATTCTTTATAATGAGCAGAAAAGTGCCAAAAATTTTTGTCTACGTATTCGTAAAAAAATCTGAACCTATTTTGAGAATTCAAAAACTATTCGAAAGATATCATTTGGATATCATGCTGATTAGTTTATGAAAGTTGTTATTGAAAACTTCATTAAATAGCTAAATCTCATTCCTGATTGATTCTTATATTGATTATTAACTTATCAGGAGAAAATCCGTTTGGCTAATTCTATGTTTTCTTTATGTTTCAAGTCATGCTGAATTTAATAAGACCATGTTTAGAAAAAGTATGCGTGGTTGCTCGTTTTTTGACCTTTTGTTGACGATTTTAAAAACTGCTAAACCGATTTCAAAAATGTAAAAACTATTTATTGAATCTGGCGGCTGGACCGTTACTTTAGGATTAGAAGGTAAATAAATAATTTTTATAGCGATTTCAAAAAATGTTGAACGCCGAGAAAGCATAAAATTAGCGACTCGGATTTTTTTTATGAAAACAATAACTTCTCCCTCGGGAAGTTAAATGTATAATACTGGTCGAAAGATATGAGTTATGAATAGGGCTCATTAGTTTCAAGGATCGGTCGAGCAGTTTCTCCCCAATTAATTAATGCTAAAAAAATGCTTCGACAATTTTGATGAAACTTTTCATCAAGAGAAAGAAGGCTAATTATCTTTGAAGACCTAATAGTAATTGTTTAATTATACAAAATCATTAAAATTTTGAATAATTGACCTCGTCAAAATTTCATATTTATATCGTCACAACATTAAAAGTTGCTAAATCTTAATTGTAATTGATTAAGGCGGTTATTGATATATTTGGAAAGTTCATACCACCAGCAACGTGATTGATGCGTACACTACTCGTAGTAGATTTTGTTTCCATTGGCTCTTTAGATTACGACGGTTTAAACAAGTTGGTATTGGTATTTAGCCTTGAGGCAAGTTACATGAACTTCTCGATATGTGTAAATAATCGACATAATCAATAAAAAATAAATTAATTTATGAGTGGATTTATTACACATAATTGAAAACGAAGGAACACGTTAACTCGGAGTATTTCCAAAAAGCAACTTTTCAAAAATCAACAATTATTACATTTGAACCAGTTTCCGTGGGATTTTAATGGTTTAGTATGTTTATTAAGACCAAGTACTATATTGTTATACCAAG